TTTTTTAAAGATTCAATGTCTGAGATTATGCACATACACTGTCCCATGTTAGGGTAGAGTTTTGTGCCAGCTAACATGTTTAACCTGCCACATTCTGTATGTACCTGTCCATAGCGAGGACCGAGGACCCAGTAATTTGGTGATTGGTGATGTATATCATATTTATTTTTCATAATTGTTTTGTATATAAATCAGGCTGCTTTAGTTTTATTGTTTTACATTTGTTATTTCGTGGTCGTTTATAGCTTACTATGCAGAATAGGTTTTGCTAATTGTTGCAGACTGCATGGAGGAATCTTCTTATCAGAATAATAATTTCAATAATGGTGTCCAACAGTGGTGTATGGTTTAATTCCACTATGTACTAGAGTTTGAATATGCCATATTAGCGCTTTTAGTTGGATCAGCTGGTGCCACTATGCACAATTATCAAATCATACCTGAAACTATCTGAAATGGTGTAATTTTCTTGTATACTAGTATTACAAGAAATGCTGATGTTGTTATAATGGCCTAGCAATGATGCAACATATATTTTTGAAGGCTGTACGGTTGCCTTTAATTGCTTACATCCACTCCAGTTGAATTTTGGTGGATAGTTGTCTCATTGGCAATCATACCACATCTCCTTATTTTTATAATAATTGCACATGTCTAATCTGTAATAAGCTGTTAACACAGAGACATGTTTTGCCTATTTGTTATTTTGACAATGCAAATGTTACACTTAAAACAGTAATACTTTAACATGTAAGTGATATTCAAAGACAATGCACCATGACTGATAGTACAGGGCTGAACAATCTCTATAATATTGGAAATGAGATGTGCCAATGCTTATACAACTGCTTACCAAATACCATTGACTTTTCATAAGTCGTTCCCTTTAAACAAACCTTAACACAAATTCAATTTCTAAGTCAATGAACCATAATGAGGGGGTTATATAATATCCATGGAAATGAAACTTTTGAATACCAATACGTTCGCATACCAAATAGCTTTGACTTAAGATTACTGGTAATTTTAAACTGACATAATCATAATAATCACAAACACATTCATGTAAACTAAGTAAAAGTTTCAAAGTCAATAGATCATGCATATGACTGAGGGGTGAGGACCAAATATCATCTATGGAAATGAGACGTACTAATGCTTCTACACCTACATGCCAATTATCATTGACCTACCACTATTGGTTTCCCTAATACTAACCTAATCAAAAACTAATAAATGAAGTTTCAAAGTAACATAAGTTTCAAAGTAAAAAGAGCATAATTGAGGGGGCGGGGCAAAATAATCTCAATGGAAATTAGAAATGAAAAAAGTTTATACAACTGCACACCAAATATCATTGACCTACCACTAGTGGTTCCCCCTAAACTGACCTAATCACAAACAAATACATGTAAAATATGCAAAATTTCAAAGTCAATTGACCATGACTAAGGGGGTGGGGCCAAATATTCTCCATGGTAATGAGATGTGCCTATGCTAACACAACTACTTACCAAATATCATTGACCTACCATAAAGCAGACCTTATCACAAAATTACAAACTAATACATTGTTGATTCCGCCAAAATAGCATGCCTATATATATATATATATGTCTCACTTTTTGACTCTGTTAAGGCAAGACAAATATTGCAACAAATTTAATACAAATATTTTGTCCATCTTTTTTTAATATTTTCTTCATTTCTTAGATATATCAATGCTGCGTTCACACATAATTCGAATTCGATTCACATTATTAACTGATTTGAATTAGTTTTATACGCATTCGAAACGTTTAATGTCCAAAAGTAAATTCTACTTGGAATTGCAATACGCGTCAAAATCGCTTTACTGTGAATGCAGGAGTTAAAATTAACATTTGGTACTGGACGGTTTAGGACCTTCGACACTCCAAACTGAAAGGTCCACAACCTAAATTCCAGGTCCTGCTTTTACTAGAAATATTTCAGTAACTCAGTAAGATACTTTAATGTGCTTTTGGTGTTACGTTAGCTTGTTTCATTGTCAGTGTCACTGTCGTTTAACATGTTTAATAATAAATGTAATTGTCTTGTATATTAATTTATGAATTCAAATATAATCTTCTTTTTTTGTATAAGGAAGGCTGAGGGAGGCTGAGGGTATCACTGTGGGTGGGTGTGTTGTCTCAACAATTGATTATTAATTACTAATTATACCATTATATTAAACAGTTCAAATTCAAAGCTGTTTAAGTGTATCAAATCTAGTTGCACTATATATTATATTAGTTCCTCTGTGAAAATAAAGTAAGAAACTTCCAGATTTTTATAGGCCCTTCAAAATTGAGAAGAAATTACCTCATGGAATTGTAGTAATATGTTTAAACAATAAAAACATTTACATGTAATATCAATATTTATTAATGATAAGGAAAATACTGTCACATTTTATTGGATTTTGACATGAAAATTTGTGAACTAAAAGTAATTTTGAGTTTCTGTATAAAATATTTCCTGCTTTTTCTTTCTTTTCAATATATCTTTGGTTTTCAGTTCTAGTGTTTATATTTCATCATGATAGATGTATTTTGTCTCAAGCCTGGAATTATTATATTTTTATTGTATTTGATCGGCAAACCCGGAATTACCCTTATCCGCCCCCGGAATTAGATCCGGTATTATAATTGTCTTCATTTCCGGTTTATGGCATCCATTGTTTTTCAATGTTGTTTTTGTCAGTCAGAAACGATTTACTCGGATTTACACATAACATGTTGGCGATTTTCGGTATAAAGCTAGCGGTTGAACAAAATGATTATCATCAGAAATCCCCAAAATTTAAACGTCCTTGATTTACGTTTTGTCGACGAAGTTAAAATTACCGCCAACTGAGACTTCAACTCCGTGTCATATAAGTCACAGCCGTTATACAATATTCCTGCGCTTTTAGCCATTTGGCAACTGTAAACGACTTGTAATTAGAGATTTTCGGCGGTGAAATAATTCATGCAATTGTTCTTTGACATCTTAGCCAAAAGCACAGGGGATAATAAACTACGTAAGGATTTCTATTGAGCACTACTTCCTTTGTGCAACTTCTAAACTTTTGGGTGGTTCGACGATCATTTAAGGTTTTTCTGGTCATATTTTTTGTATTCCAGAATTAAAAGTATGAAAAAAGTGTTCAATTAGTTATAAATAACATAATAGTCAGCTAGATAATAATAATGGCACATATTTGAGCATTTATTGGGTAGAACACAAATCTAGGGTGCTCGCATAAGGCAGCTTAACTGCCTAAAAAACCACAAATTCATCAATATTAAAGTTTAATTCTGCTAGATAAGAGATCACCATCGATTTTAAATTTAGAGTATCATTTCTCCGCGTGCGGCCATTTTGACATCATCCCTGAATAAAAACCACGATATATCTATAAACCACAAAGGACCAAAACAAGCAGTAACCTAACGTAGCCGTAATCGAGTGTCGATATCTTGTCAAGCGTACGGCTGTTTTACCCGACAAGGAACTAACTAACTTGATACGGAAAATGTAATTATATATTTTTTTTTAATAACTAGTACTATGATCTGTCGTTTTAAAACTGTTTTTTTTACTAAGTTTTTGAAACAAGAAATTTTAATGGAAATTAGTTCAAAAGTTCAAAGTGATAAATTAAGTGTTCTGTGTAAAAATGTTTTCGAAAATCTAGTGTGTTCATAATCCATTTATGTAATAATCTTATTTAAATAAATTCGGACCTTCCCTTATCTGATCACCAGCATGGCTAAAGGAATTGTTCCCAGAGGTATTGTGAGTTGACACGTCCAGGTATTCAAGTGATTTCCTGTCTGGCTTTAAAACTCTTATTACACAATAACATAAAGCAAGTTCATGCATCACTTCACCTCTGAGGGTATTGAGAAGTGTACACGGCCGATAACTTGTAACTTTCCATTTTGAAACTATCAGGTGAATATACATCTTTGTCTTGCGTGTCCGATAGTGATATGCTAGTCTTTACTAAACCATAGATATAATGACTAAACTCATACGCTTGTTTATAAATAACATTTATGGTGTAAAGAATATTTATGAAAATCTAAATACCGGTAATTCCAAAAAAAGATTTGATAAAATAAAAATATATTTACATATTTTCCAAACGTAAATTGGGGAAAATGTAAGTAATTACTCGTTGTCAATAATTATGGACATTTTGAAACGTACAAATATTGATTTAACAAAATGTACGCACTTGTCGGTCATAGGATTATACGCCTAGATAGAAGGTTACGGAACTATAGATAGTCGCAATTTAGAATATAAACATATAAACATGTATATTGAATATACGAGAGAAACATCCAAAACCAATCTGATTTAAATACAGGTTGATATCTAACTTGCTTTGGTTCATCGAAGTTATGCACATAGTAAAATCACAGATTTTTATTTCAATTAGATTATTTTGAACAGTTTAAGAAAATCGTCACCATCTCAATGGTTGTGTATTATGTATAATAATGTGAACATGGTTCTATTATACCTGTAGTACCTCATGTCAATTTTCCTAATCACAAACTAATACATGAAAACTAAGCAAAAGTTTCAAAGTCAACAGATCAGGAATGAGGGGGTGGGGCCAAATAATCTCCATGGAAATGAGATATGCCAATGCTTATACAACTGCATACCAAATATCATTGACCTACCACTAGTGGTTCCCCATAAACTGACCTAATAAAAAGTTTCAAAGTCAATAGACCTTGACTGAGGGGGCGGGGCCAAATAATCTCCATGGTAATGAGATGTGCCAATGCTAATACAACTGCATACCAAATATCATTGACCTACCACTAGTAGTTCACCATGAACTAGACCTAATCACAAACTTATACATTGTTGACGCCGCCGCCGTAGTCGACTCCGGAAACAGCATACCTATGTCTCATTTTTTTACTCCGTCAAGGCGAGACAAAAATCTGATAAAATGATAATTAATAATAAAATTTTTTCATAGTTTCATAGTTTATTAGAAAAATCTCAGCTGTGTAACATGAGTATAATTAACAAAATATATAAGTACACACATTACATACTATTAACAGTTAATCCATTATCATATATCAAGATATTACAGTTGTTGATTAAAATCAACATTTTTTTCAAACTTTTGGATAAAAATTAATATCTTAAACAACAAATTGTTATTGCACAATGTTAGAATACCATGCACTCTCTTTACTTTTTGATATAATAAAATTGAGAATGGAAACAGGGAATGCATCAAAGAGACAACAACCTGACCAAAGAGCAGAAAACAGGCCAAGGGCACCAATGGGCCTTCAACACAGCTAGAATATCCAGCATTGGAGGCAGGCTTCATCTGGCCCCTAAACAATAATGTATACTAGTTCAGCGAAAATGGATGTCACACTAACTCTGAAACATATAAATGAACCAAAATTTAAAAAAATAAAAAAGACTAACAAAGGCCAGAGGTTCCTGACTTGGGACAGGTGCAAAAATCTAGCCAATACATAGGTATAGATTTCTTTTTTAAATCTTCTAGAGTATTATTTTTACTTTACTGTTATGTTATTATGAGCACCCCTAAGATCAGTTCCACAAGTCAGACAAATTCACTCATCTTTTTGTATATTTCCCCATCTCTCTGTTTTGATGGGAATCTATGTTACACACCCTCAATTACGAACATTTCTCCTATGACCCTGCTTTAATTTCAATAGGTATAGTGCTGAATTGAATTCTATTTAAAATTTAAAGAAAAGAAAAATCCCCACTCAGTTTTTAGTCAGCGAACCATTTTTAAATAACTGGTCTTGAAGCACTGATTAACATTGATTTTGATAAAATTGAAATTTACGTGCATTGGTGGATTATATATTTCACAAAAGCCACAATCATTAAAAAGACATAAGATATTTGAACAACTTGAAAATAACCTTAAAGCTAGTTTATACGCCAAAATATCCTATACAATTTAGAGATATGTCTCACCTGTGTGTAATTTAGATAGTACAATGTATAAAGTTTCAAAGTCAATGGACTCTGACAAGCCAAATTATCTCCATGGAAATAAGATGTGCCTCAGGTTACCGATATGATTTCTTACAAGTTCGTCTTTAACTGACCTAATCACAATCTTTATCAACACTGCCTTTAATGCCGACGCAGAAACAACAAGCCTGAGTCTTGTTTCCACAACTTTTGTCACAGGCAAGACAAAAACATACTATTCTGGCAAAAACTTAAGTGTGAAGTAATTAAAGCCTACAAAATAGAGTTTTGAAAGGATTTTTTTTAAAAACATCTAGGTTCCTACACAAGTGTGTTTATCTAACATTCATTATGAAAGTTTTTTCTAATAATTGCTCAATTTTCAATTACATTTGGGTTATGCAATTTAGGGAAGTCATTACAGTTTTGTGTGGGATAATTATTAATGGGATAATGAATGTCCAACATTCACAATGACTTCATAATAATGAAATCTTATCTCAGAAATTCAAATCTTAAAAATTGATAATGGCACAAAATTAATCATAGGAAGATATAAATAAATCTTTTGTCTTTTTGAATTGAAACAGAAGATAAATATCTGGTTTTTTTTCATAATTTTTAGTAATTTTTGCTCTGCATATACAAAATTTTAGAATGATTTTCCCACAAATAAAGGAGGCTACAATTGGGAGAACTCACTTTCATGCATTTTTTTTTTAGTTTTATGTAAAATTAGCACAGTACCACATTTATTGTATGTACCAAACAAAAATCATAATGAAAGCCAAATCAATTAAAAATGTTTGACTGTTTTTGTGCAATAATTATGTATCTTTACTATTTTACAACTACATTGAAACTTATCTCAACCAAATTCCTAAAAGGATGCAACTTTGTTTGGATTAGACAGGTTTTCACAGTTTAAATAACTTAAGAATATTTAATGTCCTGTTACAATTGTTTAGTTTACACAAGTTTCTGTATGAAAAGGTTATACTGTATATCTAATAGTAATTTTTACAAGGTTGAAATGTCTGTAATTAACACAGTGAACCCAATTTAATAATAGTTTCAATTGCATGTTCGATTCCTAATTCTTCTACAGCATCTTCAAATCTCTCTGTGGATCTCTGTAATGTTTGGTCCTTATCTTGCCGTTCAACTACAAAATAAATAACAGAATTAATAAAGAACAAACAATATTTTTATATGTTACACAAACAACATTAAACTCATGTGCATAATAACTGCTGCCCCCTTTTTCGGCCAAAAAAATCTAAGAAACCCATCTTGAAGTTCAACCTAAACTGAGGGATTCCTTGCCATGTTGTAAAAGGGACTTTATAAACTTGCTAATGCAAATTTGCCGATCTAACATTGTTGGGCTAAAAATTTGAGACAAAGTATATATAAATACAATATTAACAAGTCTAAATTGAAAACAACGTTCAAACCTATGATTGCGTTGGATAAAAACAGCAATTTTTATACGTGTGCATGCAAAACAAATTTCTTGTTAGAGGGGTCTAAAAACAGCACAAACAACATTTTCCAAAAGACCAAAAAAGTGAAAAAGTATATTTTGACAAAACGCATTTGACTAGCAGGTCGAACAACAAATTTTCTTAAACCCTGCTGACTGCCATTGGCGATTGCCAAATAAACGGATCACTGATGTAATAAATGGATCTTAATTATAAATTTAATACTAAACAGAAAACAATAAACTTGCGGAAAAGATGGTATACAGCTAACAAAAGGTGCAAAGGTTTTTGTACACCATATCCAGATTTCTACAATTATAATGTCTCTTCAGTGATGTTAGGAATCGAAACGGTATTTAGAAAGCCATAAAATTTACCTCAATTTAGGATAGACTCTTGAATTTTGAGGAGTCAAAATAGGATGAAGTGATCATATAAACCTGAAGGCAAAAATAATACAAGCCCAAACGAAAAAATATAAACAAGTCTAAATTGAAAACAACTTTCAAACCTATGATTGCGTTGGATAAAAACAGCAATTTTTATACGTGTGCATGCAAAACAAATTTCTTGTTAGAGGGGTCTAAAAATATTATATATAAATACAATTTTATATATAAATCCAATGCCTCTTGAAAAGAGATTACCATGCTCTCATACCATTGAAGTTGCCTTGAAAGCACCTCAAATTACCTCCCTTCATCCTAGTTAATCCATTTTAAATTTGCAGAATATGCATGCAATATTTGGCACTGGACAGTAAGCAAACAGTGATATACATGCACATATTCTCTCTCTAAATTTATGTTCTATCATTGCACTTTCATTTGACACAGTTACAAAAATTTAGTGGCATTACAACAATGTCAATTTAGTCCTGTATATTGTCTTTGCAACATTGACAAAGTAATTTTTTTATTACTTAGTCCAAGGATTTATATAGTAAGATACTATATAAATCCTTGCTTTGTCATTCAAAGATGACAATGTGCAATCTTTCATAGAAGTTATCAATTTAATTCAAAACTTTATTGTGATCAAAATTAACTAATGTAATTTGTGACAAAATGAACAAAAATCACAAAAATTACATTGTTGACATATTACTTTCAAACATTAGAATGTGAATACATTGATAAATAAAGTCATAAGAATTAGCTAAACAAACAACCATAATGCAGAAAAATATTAAAACCTAATATTATGGTCCATGATATTGCTAAAAATGTCAAAAGATTTGGTCATGTGGTACTCTTTCATTTAGAAGCCAAGTTTGTGACAGACTGACTAACATATGCATCACTTTATAACATCCTCCTATTTACAAGGAATAAAAAACCTGCAACATCAGCACATTGGTATTTATTAAAATTTATAGATTCCCATTAGATGTAGCAAAATGCTTGCTAGTTTGCTTTATTTTTGTTTTTAAGTCTGGTACCCTCCTTTGTAAAAAATCAAGTTTCAAAATATAATTAAATTTTATTTCCAAGTTACTTACTGTAATCAGGAATCTTCATTGACAGTGCCAATCTTGACTTCGCTCTGTAAACTTGGTCTACTTCAAATTTCCAACTGATACAAAAAACAGGACTAAAATATACAAATCAAAGCATGAAAACAACAATAAACCAAAAGAATTATAATTTTGAGTATGAAACATAAAATGTAACACATCATAATATATTAAAAATTATTGATATGAACAAATTATTAAAGAAGACCACTGAGCCTTATTCACCAACAGGCTTTGAAATTGCACAGAATAAAATAATTCTGACATTGACAACCATTTAAATTATCACGGTCAAGTTGTAATTTGTTCTATTTCTTGTAAATATTGTGCCCTTGCAAAAATATAAACATACAGTTCACATGAATACATCAGTTAATTTGGGGAGGGATTTTAACATTTCAAACATGGATAACAGAATTGGCCATCTATGAGAGGTACTTTTGCATGTAATGCTTTATTGCAAGAGAAACTTGGCCGGCCAGATGAGCAGAGTTGCCATCACAGAGAGGGCCCGTTACTGTACTTACATTTAACTGGATGATTTTAAGAGCAAAAAGGCACAGTAAACATTTTTACATGCATTTCGGCTTTTGACATGAAATGATTTTTCATTGCCAGAGGTTGGCAACTATGCACATGGACCTTCAGTCAAGGGTGTGTTTGAAAGACATCAGTTTGTTCTCTCCTCTCATTTTTGGAGGACATAAAATACAAATGTACTTAAATATCTTACCCTTGTGTCACTGTATTATTTTTTATAATTAGATATGGAATGAAACTTTCCTCCTCCAATTTAACCAAATCAGGATATTTGTCAACAAAATGTTGAAACGTGTTTATTCTTTGTCTATGCCATCTAGAAAATGGAACAATCAACTGGAAAAAACTCCAAATAGATCTATCCTCAGACATGCTGAAATACATAAACAAATATTATTCAGAACTACATGCAATTGTAAATATCAAAATGTACCAACTAATTTTCAAATATTTTTTAAGAAAAGCATTAAAATGCAGATAACTGATTTCAACATTGAGACAGAAAATATGTGTATCACAGCAAGTTAGCTTGCCATTATTGTGTTTAAAAATAATGTCATAATCAATTTGATGTCAGTCTCTGATATGTAGGTATTATCAGGTTTTTCTGCATATTGATACTGTAAAATATAAGCTGCAAGTAAAAAAAAAGCTTTTTGTCAAGTGAGCATAGTGTCAGCCATTGAGGGGATTATATCTTTACCTGATTAGAAATTTCTGTAATTCATCCTGTATATTTTCAGGAACAAATATATCCAGTTTAGTTAATTTTAAACTGTTATCATCTTCATTCTGTCAGAATAATGAAAACAAAATATTGTAAATTCAGGAAGAGTAAATGCAATTTTTGTTCATTAAAAAAAAATGACAAGATGAAAAATGTAATTACATAACATTATTTATAATTTCTGCTAGGAATATTCTACTTCTAATTGATTGACTGATTGTTGTTTGCTTAATATTCAATGGCAAGTATTTCATGCATATTAATGACAATTCTACTATAATAAAAGAACAGAGTTCCAATGTTCCCCCTCCCTTTTGCAAATATTTTATCTGTTCTGTTCAAGGGCAATAACTAAAAATATTTTTTTTTGTTCTTTAAAACTTTTTAAAATAATCTTACTAGAGAGTTGAAGACTTGAGAGCAATTTCTAATATATTTAATAGTTCCAAGGGAAACTCATTAAAAATATTTGATCAGCACTTATTTTCGAAATTTTCAGAGACACAGCTGTTATATACTTTTGATAGAATTTGATAAAAATCTGTCAAATTGTACATGTGAGAGCTCTTACAATGCAATTTCCATATAATTTATATTTCTAAGGGGCATAACTCTTTTAAAAATAGTTGATCAATTTTTAAACTCGTCCGAGACATTGTTTATATTAATCTATGAAATAAGTTTTATAAAAATCTGGCAACAATTGTACATGTGAGAGCGCTAAACAAGACCGGACAGACACCCGGTATTTCTATGTCTCCTCAATGCTTCACGTGGGGGACAAAAATGTGTACATTTTAGCAAACTGATCATGAGAATGTCATTAAAGTTCTGTGTAAAATTAAAGTGTTATAACTGCCAATAGCACAACTTGCAATTACCCTTCACTAAAAACATAAGATGCATTTCTTTTGTTGATTGAGCAACTGACAATATCTAAGGATTCAAAAACCTTTTCATAAATGACTTTAAAAATCAATAATATCTTAAACATCAAAGATATGTGCAGGGAGAGGAGCATCATATCACATGCACATTTTAAGGATTAATATTTGGCATTCAGGTTAATTATCATAATATTGAACCAACCCTGAATTTAGGGCTAAGCCTTATAATTCTTACATAATCCAAATTTCTTTTATTTCTAATTTAAATCAGCTTAACTAATATACACCCCCACACCTCTCATTCAGTATTTGCCTGTCCCAAGTCGGGAGCATTTAATTCAGTGGTTGTCGTATGTTGCTGTATATCATATTTGTTTTTTTCTTATTTTTTTGTACATAAATGTTAGTTTTCTCGTTTGAATTGTTTTATATGTCATTTCAGGGTCTTGTATAGCATACTATGTGGTATGGGTTTTGCTCATTGTTGAAGGCCATATGGTTGTTAACTTCTATGTCATTTGGTTTCTGGTGGAGAGTTGTCTCATTGGCAATCATACCACATCTTCTATACGGTCTATTCATTCAACAGATATGATGCATCGTCAAAGTGTTTTCTATAATTTATATAATGATATCTCGCACACATTCATTGATCTACAAGATGTTAACATAGAATTTATGATAACTTCTGATTTCTTTAATAGCGGAAACAACCGAGAATGGCAATATCACAGTATGCCACACGCTGGTTGTGTGTAAATAATGTGCCATGTTTCAAGTCAATTAAATGCAGTGGCACGTGGCATCAAAGTTGAAACTTTTGAAGTAGGGTTGTAGTAGTTACTGTCAATATTATACTTCCATGGTATGGTCTTGAATATTAACATCAACAAGGCAAAACAGTTTTATAACAAGCAACAAAGATAAAAAATATTTGCGAAAAAAAATACCATAAGCAAACAGACAGATACGGAAAAATGAGACAGAAAATCATATGTTTATATATATACAAATATCTAAAGTAATTTATAAAGATATATAGGACTGCTAGTAGTCCATTGTAAATTTATGTTGATTATTGTCATTTTGCTTAGTTTCTTCTGTTACCTATTCTAACATCATACTCAGACTTCTTTCAAACTGAGTTTTACTGTGCGTATTGCTGTGTGTTTGTTTATTCCACATTGGCTAGAGGTATTAGGGGAGGGTTGAGATCTCACAAAACATGTTTAACCCGGCCGCATTTTTGCGTCTGTCCCAAGTCAGGAACCTCTGGCCTTTGTTAGTCTTGTATGTTTTTTTAATTTCGGTTCATTTTATATGTTTCGGAGTTTAGTGTCACGTCCACTTTCGCTGAACTAGTATACATTATTGTTTAGGGGCCAGCTGAAGCACACCTTCAGGTGCGGGATTTTCTCGCTGCTCTTTGGACAGGTTGTTGTCTCTTTGACGCATTCCCCTTTTCCATTCTCAATTTTAAATATAAAAATTGTAGACTAAAATTTGGAATACCAATAGCATTGAAAACATATTCACAAAAATTGACTTCTATTACCTTTTCCATACATTCAAATTCTACTTTAAATTTGGTGTCCATACACTGTCCCTTTAGATTATATTGCACAATATCTCCTGAAAAACAATAATCATAAAAAAAAGTTTGCTCACCACACAGATCTAAATGCATTCAAATACAAATATATCAGCGGTTTATCTCTTCTTTCTTCAGAAATATAAAGCTTTGTACAACTTGTTTATACAACTAGTAGAATCTCATTCTTATTTCCTGAATGGCAAGGCAAATAAAAGGTAGTTGTCAAATAATACTGTCCATTTGTAAACTTTAGGTGATTATTGTGTACTTAATGTTTGTTTAAATTACTTCAAAAAGTTATTATTGATAAAATTAAACATCAAGTAAATATGTGGCAGCAAGTGTAGAGATATAATTTACAATGCAAAAAGAAGCACAAACATTCATAATTTCAAGAAATAAATTGCACTTTTGTTGAAACATCATTGTGCTACAGTATAGCCATTTGTTTCCTCAAAAACAAAAAATCACATGCTAAGAATGAAAAATCGTGTTTCAAAATTTCTGCAGATTTTATATATTACAAAAATAAATAAATATTTAGTTTTAAAAAATGTTAAAGCTACAGTACACATTTTACCACTGTTTCTAGAATGAACATAAGTAACAAGAATATGTGTCAGTAGGACACAATGGCCTACTCACACTATCTTATTTCCATGTTGTGTGAACTGCAAAATCTGGGCCACAGTTCACTTCATAATGGACAAGTGTACATAAATTTCCAATTGACCACAAACTTCCCTACCCCAAAACTTAACCTGAAACAGGACAGACTGAATGATATACAGACTTGAAAACATAATGCCCCTCTACTATAGTAGGCAGGGCATGAACATTCCAGAAGAACCATGGGTGAATAAGCCAAGTTGTGGTCCTTATGGATTTGTTGGGTGTTTTGGCGGTCTGTTGACAATTTGTGTTACATTATGGAAAAAAAGTATTGTGACCTTGACCCTTGACCTACTACTAAAAAAAATTTACAGTGGTCTTGTTCCTTCTGAGGGGCATAAATATGGAAAGTTAGACTACCTCCCAGCTCAGCCAAAAATTACTTTCAAGGGGGACACACTAAAAATCAGCTGTTTTAAAAATGTATGAACATGTAATGTCATCAAGAATTAGTTTTATTACAACAACATAAAAATCTAAAGTGTTTTAACTCAAAATGATAACATGGGTATTAAAACTGAGACTTATATTTTACTTTTCTCCTAATATATGAGTACTACTATTACTTATCACAGTAAATATACCTGATTTTAATGGATTATGGGTCAGCTCTTGAATTGATATTCCTGCTAATTTTGTTGTAAGCTCAATCTACAAAACACAAAATTAATATTAGCTGTTACCTTTAATTGTCCATGATTTGTCATTTCTACAAAAATATGGTCTAAATAGAATCATGTTTAAACATGTTAAACGGAAAAGACCTCTCCCCCTTACTTGTGGTCTATATTTCTGGATGGAGGTTGAAACTTGTTATGAGTATCTGATTTTTTCTTGAGCAGCAGCATTTAACCAATAAGTGTGGCTACCAAATCTAATCTTTCTGGAAAACTGCTACTGCATTAAACAAAAATTTAACCTGATACAGGAAAGACAAACACACAGATCAGAAAACATGATGCCCCCTCTACAATAGAAAAGGGGCATAAAAAGCAGTAATATTACTATTTGTAGTTGCATGCATGGGATTGCAGATATTTCAAGTATGATCCCATTTTATCTTTGTTTTAACTAACCTTCCGTTGGATATCTTCACATTCCTCTCTATAATCTTCTACTGTTTTAGGAGATTTGTCAACATTACTACAAACAAAAAGTAATCAAAAATGAACATACATGTAGCTCAAAAGAAATGGCACATTTTGATGAAAATTTTTAAATACACTATTTATTTCAAGGCTTTTGCAAATTTTAATATGAAAGTTAAGGTTGAATTGGTAAATGGTGCATACTATTTCAGCATGCTTATCATGAAAATGAACAGAAAATTGGAGAAAAAAACAATCCATCTACATTATTTTTCAATATTTTTTTTTATATCATATATATGTTTTGAGAATGGAAACAGGGAATGTGTCAAATAGACAACAACACGACTAAAGAGCAGAAAACAGCCCAATGCCACTAATAGATCTTCCTTAAATCTTACAAAAACATTCTTAGATTTGTATAACAATAATTATTTATCCAAAACTTTTTTTTTAATTGACATGATGGTTAGAGGATTTAAAGGTTATATTACAAACTGTTTTTTTACAGATTTCATAAACACTGTGTTTAAACTGATCCGACAAAAAATGTTTCCACTCAATAGTATCTAATATCTAGTATGGTGACAGAGCCCATTCAGACAGATAAAAGGTAGGATTTCTGTTTATTTATTTGCATGCAGTTGTAGAATATACATGTAAATTCACATATTACTATTTTCCATTGTAAGATGTAATATTTTCTACAACCATTCTATATTAATGGAGAAATAAATAAAAATGCACGGCCAAATGATGCATAGAGTGATCCTTACCTTAAGCTTTACTTTTGTACAAACTGTACAAAAAGAAAGATATGTACATGGAGATTGGTCACTTTTTGCACCTCAAAATTTGTATTTCTATGCATGGAACAAAAGAAATTGATTATTAAAAGAACAATGTTCTAAGCATAGAAGCATTTACATGCCAAATTGTTCTTGTACCATTCCACTATTAAATGGAATAAAATATCACATAGCAAAAAAGGTATTATGAATTAATTGTTTGGCTGCACAATGTCTGAATATTACATGCATTTTCAGACAAGGACAAATATATCTGCTTTGAAAAATATAAACCCATTTTTGGAACTTTTAAAGTGAAATCATGACTCATTAAGAAACAGTTTGCAGGGAGACTTGTCGCCCTAACTACACACATTACAAGTAATAACTCTAACTGCCAGGAGACTTATCTTTGCTTGTACTCTTAAATGCTGCATTCACTGCAGAGATGCAGAAAATATCATTTTCAAGTCTTTGAATTGACTTATCCTCGGATTAAACCAACAACTTCCAACATAAAAAGTATTAAAGCAAGAAATATATTAGACTATCAGTCATGTCAGAAATTACAAGAAAGGTGATAACATGAATACACACAATAAATTCAAATATATGTACTATAATGAAAAATACTCACTATTTCTTTTCAAAATGCTTGTTTAGTAATTCTTTTCTTTGATGAAGCAAGTTTTCTAAACTTTTTATCTCTTCTTCAAGCTGATTTATTTCTTTTTCCTGTGTAATTTGGATCAAACTTTTATGAGATGCTGTTTTTTGTTCTGCTGGGACATGTGGGATGTCTATTTCTTCTGAAAATCTTAAAAAGAATAAGTTTTACATACAACTATCAAATTCAATGAATAGAAATCCTATATCCAGGTGTTCTTTAAAATCAAATGATTCTTTAAATAAAAAAAAAGTTGAATATGTTTTACAGCTAACTTGAGCTAAAGTTTATAACTGAACTATAAACAACTGTCATACTAATGGACAGTTAAGCTAGCTATAAAACCAGGTTTAACCCACCAGTTTCTTTAGAAAATGCCTGTATTAAGTTCAGAATATGACAGTTGTTTTTCACTCGTTCCGTTCTTGATCGATAACCTTTGGTTTTGTCAGTTTTTACAGACTTCACCTTTTGAATTTACCTCAATAGAGTTCGTTATTTTTGTTATACACCAAGTCATTTAACAGCTGTTATGGACATGATGGAAAAGTTAATCAATATTTAGAGACAAATGGAAAACATAAAAAAAATAAATGTGGATAATGTCCACATGTGGACACAGATGATGCCCCCGCTTGCATATCATATAGTTATAAAGGGACATAACTGAAGAACGGTAAAAGTGACGCTACCCAAATTTGAACTTGATCTGAGTTTTGTGGTAATAAGCATTGTGTGTAAGTCCCATAACATTTGGTTGAGGCTAACTTAAGTAGAGAACAGAAACTAAAAATTCAGCAATTTTTCTATTTGTAAACACGCATAACTCTAGAACGATTGTGTATAAGTTTTATAACATTTGGTTGAGACAAACTAAAGTTAGAGAATGGAAACGAAAATTTCAGCAATTTTTATGTTTATAAAGGGACATAACTCAAGAATGGTAAAAGTGTTGCCTCCAAATTTCGTACTTAATCTGTATTATGTAGTAATAAACATTGTGTATAAGTTTCATAACATTTGGTTGAGGCAAACTAAAGTTAGAAAACGGAAACAAAAAATGTGTACTTGATCTTAGTTTTGTGGTAATGAAAATTGTGTATAGGTTTCATAATGTTTGGTTGGGGTAAACTTAAGTTACAAAATGGAAACTAAAAATTTTGTAATCTTTCGATTTATAAAGGGCCATCACTCAATAATAGTTAAAGTGACACTACCCAAATTCAACTTGATCTGTGTTTTATCAGTGGAAGTCAAAATTAAACATTGCATTCTATAAAGCGTTGATTGTAGTTGATTCAACTATAATCATGGACAAAGGAGGATAACTCCAATTTTACAAATTACTTGATATTTAGAAGAAAATAAAAATTTTGCAATTTTTCCATTTATAAAGGGCATAACTCTAGAACAGTTGAAGTGACGCCACAAAAATTCAAACTTGATCTGTATTTTGTGGTAATAAGCATTGTGTATAAGTTTCATAACATTTGGTTGAGGCAAACTTAAGTTAGAGAACGGAAACTAAAAGTTTTGCAATTTTTCCATTTATAAAGGGGCATACATGTAACTCTAGAACGGTTACAGTGACGCCACCAAAATTCAAAATTGATATGTATTTTGTGGTAATAAGCATTGTGTATAAGTTTCATAACATTTGGTTGAGGCAAACTTAAGTTAGAGAACGGAAACTAAAAGTTTTGCAATTTTTCCATTTATAAAGGGGCATACATGTAACTCTAGAACGGTTAAAGTGACGCCACCAAAATTCAAAATTGATCTGCATTTTGTGGTAATAAGCATTGTGTATAAGTTTCATAACATTTGGTTGAGGCAAACTTAAGTTAGAGAACGGAAACTAAAAGTTTTGCAATTTTTCCATTTATAAAGGGGCATACATGTAACTCTAGAACGGTTAAAGTGACGCCACCAAAATTCAAACTTGATCTGTGGATTGTGGTTAAAAGCATTGTGTATAAGTTTCATAACATTTGGTTGAGGCAAACTCAAGTTAGAGAACGGAAACCAATTTTGGGACGAACGTACGTACAGACGGACAAGGGTAAAACTTAATGCCCCCACCGCTACGGCGGGGGCTTAATAAACTGTTGACACAGAGATATGTCTCGCCTGTAGGCATAAAATTCAGAAAAAGTCGCTGGACCAACTAGTGGGCAGGGCCTCAAAATGGTTGACAAACTGAGATGTACAGACAGCAATGTAATTTATAGAAAATAATGTTGTCTATTGTAAGTAGTTCCTATCAAACTAACTTACATGTAAGCAGAAAACTAAACATTGAAAATTGTTAATTAATTGGAAGTTACTGTACCATGACCTAGGGGGCAGGGCCTTGAAATAGTCATCAAACTGATATGTACTGAAAATAATGCAACTTTATAGAAAATATCATTGATCTATTACAAGTAGTTCCTATCACACTGATTTCTGCAGAAAACTTAACATTCAAAAATGCTAATTAATTCAAAGTCTCTGGACCATGACCTAGTGGGCAGGGCCTCAAAATTGTCCTCATACTGATATTTAATGATAGTAATGCAACTTTATACAAAATATCATTTATTTGTCACAAGTAGTTCCTATCAATCTAACTTAAGCAGAAAACTTAACATTGAAAATTGCTAATTTATTCAAAGTCACTGGACCATGGCCTAAGAGGCAGGGCCTCAAAATAGTAATCAAACTGATAGCAATGCAACTTCGTACAAAATATAATTGATCTATCACAAGTAGTTCCTATCAAACCAACTTAACAACTATTGACGCCCTCACCGTCACCGGAAAAGCAATCCCTATGTCTCATTTTTCGCAGGTGAGACAAAAACATTGCTCTATCATATTATATGCTCCATAATTCTGTGTTGATCGTTATGCTGCAGTGGAGGGGGCATTAAGTTTTATTCTTGTACGTCTGTGTAAGTCAGAAAATTGGTTTCCGATCTCTTAATTTAGTTTGCCTCAACCAAATGTTATGAAACTGATTATAAGTTTGTTCTAATCTTATTCTTCATGTTTTGTGCTGCAACACCACTGTTCCAGGTTAGGGTAGGGTTGAGCACTTACAAACATGTTTAACCCTGCCAAAAGTTTTATGTGCCTGTCCCAAGTCATGTGCCTGTAATTCAGTGGTTGTGGTTGGTAATGTCTGTCATATTTGTTTTAAATATATTGAATTGTTATAAATTGGGCTGTTAGTTTTCTAGGTTGAATTAATTGTTTCAGCTTTTCATGTGGGAGCCTTTAATAGTTGACTATACAGTATGGGTTTCTCGTTGTTGAAGGCCGTAAGGTGACCTACAATTGCTTACTGAACAGGAAACTAATGCCTGCAGGTTTACGCTAGTCCAAATAATTGTGATATCTTGAAAGGCTATTCTATTTTTTGCCACGACACCTAAAAGTGTCACAGCAAAACAAGAGTGCACACGCTGAAATGTCTCACATTCTTTACTAACCATTGATTTTATGTTGATAGTCCTAAATATAAAGCTTTACTACAAGTAACACATAAACTTAAAGCTTTACTACAAGTAACACATAAACTTAACATGATCCAAGTAAATGAGGTCAAGGTCAGATAAACCAAACGTGAAATACATGTACACCTTACAATTATTCAATAAACCAAACATAGTTGACCTATTGCTTATAGTTTCTAAGAAACAGTCTTAATCAAGAAAACTTAACATTGACCAATGAACCATGAAAATGAGGTCAAGGTCAGATGAACCATGCCAGACAGACATGTACACCTTACAATCAATTTATGCATTAAATATAGTTGACCTATTGCCAAATGATTGCTTATAGTATCTACATGTAAGAAACAAACTTAACCATGAAAACTTAACTTTGACCACTGAACCATGAAAATGAGGTCAAGGTCAGATGACACCTACCAGTTGGACATGTACACCTTACAATCATTCCATATACCAAATATAGTAGACCTTCTGCTTATAGTATCTGATATATGGACTTGACCACGAAAACTTAACCTTGTTCACTGATCCATGAAATGAGGTCGAGGTCAAATGAAAATTATCTGACGCACATACTAAATATAGTTATCCTATTACAAAATGTACTCATAATAAGAAAGAAATTAACATTACAAAAAATGTTGACCTTTTTTCAAGTAGTCACTGAACCATGAAAATGAGGTCAAGGACAATGGACATATGACAGACGGAAACTTCGTAACATAAAGCATCTATATACAAAGTATGAAGCATCCAGGTCTTCTAGCTTTTAAAATATAAAGCTTTAAAGAAGTTAGCTAACACCACCGCCGCCGCCGGATCACTACCCCTATGTTTGTACATATACATGTATATACACAAATTAATAAGAAATGATAACAAGAGAACCAAAAAGAACAGTCTTGCAGGGCTGTTGTCAGAACAGTACATTTTCAAGTCTAACATTTAAATATAATTATTGTGATAATTTCACATTAAATACAATATTTTAACTTATTTGAACAATTTATTTCTAATAATTGAAAAGTAAAGACCATAAGATAATATACAATGAAATACAGATAATGTAAATCTGGAAAAAAATATTGCTGGATCGGGAAGCGTTTTTTTTAAATTTTGATTCTCAACTTTAACATCACTAGTGCACATAAAAATGTGAAAAACATGACCATAGGATTAAATTTTACGTAATTTAATCGATTTTATTGTTTTATTGTGTAACATTACTATTTTTCTTAAGGGTTTGTGGTTTTTTTCGGGTGTTCGGTGGTGTTCGGCAGTGTGCGGTGGTGTTCGGTGGTGAAAAGACCGACCTGATTACAATTACCCTCACAGTTATCATAGTTATATAAAGCTGTCAAGGTACAAAGTGTGTTACAAAATTTTCAGTTACAAAAATGTACCAGGTGAACATAAAGTTAACACAAGGTCATTGACGAGTGAAATTACACTAGTTCTATGATTTTTTTTTCAGTTATAATATTTCCCTGGATGTTATTATCAAGCAAACAACATAACAATCAATCAGACTTATCAGTTATAATTTCCAATCTGTTGTGGTCCTGACACACTTTCCAAATGGTTTATTCCCATCAAAAAACATATGGTTCATTATTTACTAAAAATAAATATCATTTAATTCATACTTATCCATCTCCTCATCCTTATTTTGTTGATTTTCAGTGACAATCATTGTATATTTGCCTTTTCTATCAAACTTTGAAAGGTTAATTCCGAACTTCCCGCGTTTAAGTTTCCGTTACGTTTCTGTTTTATACACGAAATGTTACTTCCTGTTTACATTTGTGGAAGAAAACTACACGTGCTAAATTATGTTAGTAGAACCACAATGACTGGTTACTCAGAAACGAATTTAACCAGCACCGTTTTCAGTATTTTGAGATTCCTCTCCAATGATATCATCTGTCCAGTTGTCAGAATTTCGGTATTGACCTTATTTACTTCAAAATACTGGACACTTTTTTAGGTAGCTGCTGAACCGTAGCTCTTAGGTCCTTATGATATTTTTTGACAATTTGCGGAACATAGTAAAAAAATATCATAAGGACATAAGAGCTAAGGTTCCTCAGCTATTTTTTAGTTGTCTATAAACTGATAAAAGCTTCATGTACATTATTTTTTTTGCTGGGACAGAACTATTATATTCTTTTTCTTTGAGATAGTACTATTATTAGTAGTTAAATTCATTAACGAGGACTCAATACTTTAGGTATATTTTTAGGTAAAAATATAAACCGGAGCAGTGTTCACACTAAAGTCTGGAGCAATTTGATCGCCTCAGAGGCAGATAGACCATATCACTATATTGCAAACCCTTACCGAAAAATAAGCTCTGCGGCAAACATTTTACCATGCAAATGAAGGTTGCGGCAAGCTTGCTGCAAACATAATTATGCAAATTAGATTTGCCGCAAGCTTGCGGCAATTGTTTGCTGCAAGCTTGCGGCAATTGTTTGTTGCAAACTTGCAGGAACTACACATTATACCAATGTCATGTGTGTAGACATATTCAATTTATCTCTTTCAAATTACACAGCAACATTTTTAAAAAATCAATTCATGTCTGTATACAAACAGTCATTTAAAGAGTTCTTGCAAACTTACGAGATTTAAGGTTCATCATAACAAATGGACAAAAATGGCTGTATTTACACCTTAAAAACTACTCTGTGTACAGACTTACCTGTCCAGTTTGGAAAGTTTTAAGGCCTGGCATCCACTAGATATATAAAAGTTAAATGCATTTTTTGTTTCAGAAAGATATAATCACTTTTGGATTTTGATGGGCATTTTTTTTCCTTTCTGCAGAAGGTGTAAAAATAAACAAACACCTGAATTGCTTTGACACTGTCCACTCAGTTAAACCCTTTAACTCACCTATAGTTGTGTAGATACCTATTGTCTGTCTATTGTCCGTGTCAATCAAGGACAATCAATACAATACAATACAGTTTTTACCTGAGAGGGAGCATCTCAAAGTTTTATCCCAACTTAGTTCATTTTTACACCTTCTGCAGAAAGGAAAAAAAATGGCCATCAAAATCCAAAAAAGATTTCATCTTTCTGAAACACAAAATGCATTTAACTTTTATATATCTATTGGATGCCAGGCCTTAAAACTTTCCAAACTGGACAGGTAAGTCTGTACACATAGTAGTTTTTGAGGTGTAAATACAGCCATTTTTGTCCATTTGTTATGATGAACCTTAAGGAAATACATACATGCATTTGAGTTTTGAAAAAGGGGACAGGGATCATTCTCAAATGACACCATATACCTGTATTAAGAAATGAAAAAGGATAAATCTCAAATGTGTATTGAGTATAAAGCTAGGTAACAATTGCATAACAGAATTGAACTTAGTTTTAATAAACATGGTACAGTACATCAGTTACAAAATTCAAACTTAAAATAGCTAAAGTTTTTCATTACACACATACATGTATATATAGTTGCTTACTTTATTATGTATGATGATAACATTAATTATTTTATTAAAACATTCTATGAATTATTTGTACTTACAAAATTACATACTGAATATTATCTATTGAACCAAAATGCCTCCTTGATCTCTTATTTGTAAAATGCATTTTCCAAACACAACCAACATGACCTAGCCACAATTTCAAATTGATAACTTCCAGGAAGTGCCAACTAGGCATGCCCAGTCAATATTGTGTAATTCTTGCAATGTTCTGGCAAACATATAGAATGGTCAAAGTTTTCTGCAATCTTGCAGCAAACATATAGAATGGTCAAAGTTTTCTGCAATCTTGCGGCAAACATTCTTTATAATTTTAAACTTTCTGGCAATCTTACGGCAAACATTGATGTTTCTGCAAACTTGCCGCAAGCTTGCAGCAAAAAGCTGCAATGTTTGCCGGAAGTTTGCAGCTAGCGGCAAACATCTGCAAACACTATTTTCTGTGTTCCTGCAAACTTTTTGTTTGCCGCAAGCTTGCAGCAAGTCTGCTGCAAGTTTGCGGCAAACAATTCAGTTCCATAAGGGAAGATGGAGGTCATCTCTACAAGATGTGCAAAACAAGAGAGGAGCTGATATAGTATCAGATCATCACCTAATCATTGCGAAGATACAACTAAAACTTCTTTCAACAAACAAAACAAAGTCTAGAAGAAAGAAATTTAATGTTGATCTATTCAAAGACCCAAAAGTTGTTGAATGTTCAGGACTATCAAATTCTGCTTCAAAACAAATTTAGTGTACTTGAAAACCTACATGAAGACATATCTAACATCAACACAGCATGGGAAATGACCAGAGATTCTATTGTTCAATCATGTGAAGAAACTGTCGGTTATCTCCAACAAAACCGCAAGCAAATAAAGGATGTCAGAAAATACATGAAAAATATTCAACGAAAGACGACAAGTCAAAGAAAAAGTTCTGACTGCTATAACTAAACAGCAGAAAAAACAGACACAAGAACAGTATAGCAATAAAGATAAAGAGGTGAAGAAAAGCTGCAAACAAGATAAAAGGAACTTTGTAGAACAACTAGCCAAAGAAGCTGAAGCTGCCTGTAGCAAGGGAGACATCAAAACCCTATACAACATTACAAAGCAATTAAGTGGTAAACCAGTCAGGGGACTTATTTAAATAAATGATTTTTAAATCACTTATTTAAGTAGCAAATTCGAAGTTTTGTCACAAATTGTGATTTTGTAGTTTTACCAAAATTTTAAACACATAGATTTAGATAATATCTTTTCATTAGTAAAATTGAAAAAAATGAACTTTTTGCTTCTTTTAAGCAGCAAGGTGTATGCCTTTGATGCAATCATTTAGCTGCAAATTCTATTTTAGTTGAAAAAATGCTATAAAAATGGCTTTACATAATGAACTGATACTTTCTTAACAGATTTTTCCCAGCAGTGGGAGTATTTTTCCTGTAAAATTCAAGGTTTCATCTTATAGATTATGTAATAAAATTCTGTTGTTCGCGATCAAAATTTCACTGTTCTGGGGTGTTGAAATTAGTGGTGGTTATTAAAATAATGATACTTAAAGAAGTGATTTTTTGGAAGGAAATTGAGGTATGATACTTAAACAAGTGATTTTTATGTCATTATCCTAGTCTCCTAGATTTAGTACAAGGTCATCACCTGACATTACCTGGTCATCCTATCAACACAGATGTTGGTTCTGATAATTTTAGCAACATAATAAGTCCCTGGATCATTAGTATTCTATATTTAAAGCTACAATGAAATTAAATCACTTAGTCTAGTGATTAATTTGTACTTTTTAAATAGGTGATTATTAAAGAAAGACAACTCTTACTTCCAACCTTTATGGACATAATGTTACTTGAATCAGTGATTTAGAAAATCACTCATTTAAGTAAGTCTCCTGACTGTAAACCACCAACCTCAAATACACCAATCAAAGACAAAGACAACAAGACCCTCACTCAACTGGAAGAACAACTTGAAAGGTAGAAAGAGCATTTCCAGCAGGTTCTTAATCAACCCCCACCTACAGATCCACCTGAACTACAAAATGGTCCAACATTGAACATCAAAACCAACAAAATAACAAAAGCTGAAGTTACCAAAGCTATCAAAAGTCTAAAAAATGGGAAAGCAGGAGGCATTGATAACATACCACCAGAAGCTATTAAAGTCTTGGATGATACCTCTGTCCTTAGCCTGTTACAACTACTGAATAAGGTCTGGCAAGAAGAACAAATACCAGATGATTAGTGTAAAGTACTTTTTAGTGAAAATCCCCAAAAAAGGTGACAAGTCATTATGTAACAAATTGAGAGGTATCACTTTATTGTCTATACCTAGCAAACTGCTCTGTAGCGTCATCCATAGCAGAATAAAAAATGAAGTCGAAAAGATATTAAGAGATGAACAAGCTGGTTTCCGCCAAGAAAGATCATGTGTAGACCAAATAGCCACATTGATAATTATTATCGAACAGACAATAGAATGGCAGACACCACTTTACCTGAATTTCATGGATTTCCAGAAAACTTTTGATAGCATTGACCATCAGGTCCTCTGGAACATTCTGGGACACTATGGAATTCCACAAAAGATCATCCAAATGATAAAACTGCTATACGACCAATTTTCCTGTGAAGTTATAGACGGTAAAACTGGGGTACGTCAAGGTTGTCTTCTCTCTGCTTCAAGAACTAGCACAAAGTTAAGGATATTTACCACCAATGTCAAATCTGTACTCCTATACAGATCAGAAACCTGGAGAGAAACAGCTGCATCTGTCAAATCAGTCCAAATAAATGTCAATAAATGTTTGAGAAACATCCTCAACATCAGATGGCCAAACAAAATATCCAACAATGAGTTATGGAGAAGAACCAAACAACAGCCAACAACTCAGATAATAAGAACAAGAAAGTGAAGGTGGGTTGGGCATACCCTCAGAAAAAAAGATACAAACATTACCAAGCAAGCCCTAGAATGGAACCCACAAGGACATCGAAAAAGGGGGAGGCCAAAAAACACCTGGCGCAGGGGACTAACAACTGAGCTGAGCAAAATTGGAAAGACCTGGAAAGAAACAAGACGAACAGCCATGGACAGGAAGAAATGTAGAGAAACTGTAGTTGCCCTATGTCCCCCTTGGGACGAAGTGGATTAAGTCAAGTAAGTCAGAGGCAGCCAAATCAGAAAATCGCTTTAGTCGCGGACTCGTGATAATTTGTCTGAAATCTTGTGGGTCGAAATATGCATCAAGATTGCAAATGTTGTCAGCCCTCAAAGTAGGTTAAAAAAATCAGGTTGCCATTTGGCCACCAGATATAAAATTTCAGTGGCCCATGCACATGATGCAGCAGGTCCGTAAATTGTCAAAAAATAGCTGAAGGACCTAAGAGCTACGGTTCTGCAGCTACAATGGTAGGTGTTAATAAAAAATTTGAACAGCTTTTTTTCAGATAGTTATTTTTGCGGAGGTACGATTGCAGTGGAATAAAGTTTGTTATAAAGTTTGATGATGTGGGACTAAGAGTTCTACGACAATGTTATACCATAAGCATTATATCCATAATCGACCTGCCTACTCACAAAAAATGATGATTCTCTAAACTATGTTTAATACTTTATTTACAATATATACAATGTATACATAATATTCCTTGTATAACTGTTCACATTATTTAACACAAAATTTTGGTGCTTCTCTTTCAATTAACAAAATCATACTAATTAGAAACGTTACAGTCTGAGATAATAAATTCCTAATTTTACGCTACTGTTAAATCTTAACCACAAAAGTATTAAAGTAATATATCAACAAGCTGCGATGCAGACTACAATTTGAACTTTTCTTGACCTCAGTAATGAAATAAATAAATTTAAGGACACTGTTCACTTAGTCAATTAACTCTCTGAGGTTGTAATTTCATGCCAACAATTTGCATAAGATGATCTTATCAAAGATCAAAACATTTGATGATAAAATTTGTAAAATTTACTTGCAATAAACCACTTTCGAGTTACATTGTTTTTTTGTATGTCCTTCGGAAAAGTTCGTCAATTATGCGCACCTTTATGACGTCATTTACCAGATAGAGGAGACTGCCTGTATCCCTGTACTATTAAAGTTCATCAAGCGACTCTTTATGATAGTCATTATGCAGGATAAACTAGAAATAATGTTTGTTCTGTAGGTACTTGATCATAATTCCCTAATGACATCAGTGCTGATTATCAATTATAAGAATTTAATTTGCCGAATAATTAGTGCAATATAGCTTCATCTTTTTTTTCAACCACTCGCTCAACATGGGAAGGAAGTGAAGATGCCCCTAAATGAACAAATTCGAAAGTGGTCTATTAAAAATAGTGTATAAACGATATCTTCTCTAATAATACTACTTCAAAAATTACAATTATCCAAGAAAAATAAACTAAACTAAAAATAATATTGCCTTCTCGTCAGTTGTTGTGTACTAATTTTTAAAAATGTGCGTGTTTCCTGTTGCATACCCTAAAATAATAGGGTAGGTCATGTAGGTAGGTTAGAGATTTTTTTTTTAAACTTTTCTTTTTGGTCAGCGTGCATTGTGTTTTATGTGCACCAGAATCCCTTGTCAACACCACAAAACAGCATTCAGGAAAACTTTACCTTGATCACTTTCTCAAGTTTTAGTTGTTTTTCGTAATCAATCATTTTTCATCTACAGCGGTATAGTTATTATATTTGTCTCTACCGGCGCAAAAATTGTGACCATATCATTTCAGCAGGCCCGAAAAAATCTGTAACAGGTTAAATAAGTTATGTTTGTCGAATGACCACCATCAGTGAATTTTAGGTCGCCCATGAGACTGTTATAGTAGTCTAAATTGAGGGCTGCAAGTTTTATCAACTGAGCACATATATATATCATCATTTTATAACATAAATAACCTAAATTTAGTGTTACATATCCTTAATAAATTTGCTCTTTTTTGTCATGGAGACTGAAATAATAGATTATATAGCAATAAAATTTCATCTTCACACTGTTGGACTCGCCATGGCAAAAAATGTCCCAGGACTCACCTTCAAAAATCCTTAGTGAGAACCCTGTCAAAGAAAAAAGAAAAAGATGTAATTGCTTAATGATATTTTGCACCTCCAATTTTAATGTTTTGATCAGATGGATTTATGGAATATCCTTAGCAAAAACACAGATTTACCATATTTATTGAAGGGAGTAGACAACCTGGATCTGCAGCTTCTCCCTAATTTCGGGATGGATTTTATTGAAACCCTAATAGAAGCAGCGCTGAAATTGTGCAACCCTATTCTATTTTATTTGAATGATTTTGGGGGTCTCCGTTTTGAATTTTCCTTGGAGTTCAGAATTTTTGCTATTTTACTTTTTTTTTTCCAATAGCAAAATAAGTGCTTAATTATTTATAAGAGGAGTATTTGCGAGCTCTGCTCACAGTTTTTACCTTTCATTTGTTTGATCAAAACACTTTTAAATATACTGGGATATTATTTACAACCATAACATTTTTTGTATTGATGTGATATGTTAATTTTATTTTTTAAGATGAAATGAGTGATGCCAAAAGGATATTTGTTGGTGGCCTCTCACAAGAAATAAAAGAAGAAGAGTTAACTGAACGCTTTCAAAGATTTTGTGAAGTTTTAAATGTACAGATTAAAAAGAAAAAAGTTGATGGTAAATGTTCAATTAAGAAAATTAAATTCATATGAATTTACAACACAACCATACAATATTTATTTTCATGTATTTTTTCATATAAAGTTTCTCATTGCATTTCATAATCAATGGTAGTTATGTGATATTTGAAAAAGTTATTGAAATGAATAGTACATCCTCCTTGTTTGTTCATTGTTGGTAGGGTTGGTCCATTAGTGATTAAAATGTAGGTTATTCTGTAGTCGTTAAAAACTTGGCTGTTCTCCTGTTTCATGGCCTGTAAAATTTGTACATGTAATGGAAAAGGCTCAGATTTCTGAAGTACAATAACTTTTCAGTTGTGCCTTACTGTCTTCTGTTTATTTATTTAAAAAAAGTATATATATACTATCTTCTAGTCTTCCCTCATTAAAGTAGCACTTTTTTACTTCACCAATTTTTGTGCATAGATGGCAATTAATTTAAGGGAAAATGCATATGAAATTATTTGTAAGTGCAGAATTGATATGTGGTTTTACATGTTCATGTATGTTAGAAACAGATTATGGAGCACTATTTTTTTATTGGGAAATTTATAAACCAGATTGCAAGTTGGTGCTTTTCTGGATTTACCATCATCAGGAACGCTCTAAGACAAATATTTGAAAGTACCAAAAAATGATACGTAAAAATGATAGCCAAATCCATCTTACATGTAGGTCTACTTTACCTGAGAGAGTTAAGAGCCTTAGTTTATTAATAATTTTATAGATTTTTAAACAGACAATTTAAGAAAGGTATGTTTTAAATCATATTAGTACCGAAGCACTGTCTGCTGAACTGATGATACCCTTGGTGACTAATAGTTCACCAGCAGTTGTTACCTTTTTATTAATGTTGTCAAATCGAACAGTTTTGCCTAACCGGTTACTCGTATAATCTTTCGACCAATTAATCGGTTAACCGGTAGATAAATTGATGTTTAAAGACCTTATCCGTAGTACCTACAAATGTACGTTTTTATGATTTGACAAATTGAAGTTTATCCTTGGGCATTATAAGGCTAGGCTTTGAGCGTTCCGTTCCTTGTGAAGTTTACTTTTAAAAATCCAATTGTACCGTATCTACTATGAAGTGTGTAACTTCAGATTGAGAGGATGGTGTCTCAGATGTTTAAATTTGAGATGATTAAACGTGTTACTTGTACCATCAAATATACATTAATTCCATTATTTGCATTTACCATTTTTGAGTCTGCATTTTGTTTAAAGTATGACAAAACCTTGGACGATGGAGGTGGCATATTTACATGTAGGTCTACGCAATATTAAATCAAAAATGAAACAATGAAGTATATCGTAAA